TTTCTTACAACTTAATAACAACAAAACGGAAATACTGGTACTAAACTTTTAGAGTAAAATGCTCTATGAGAAGCTTAGTTCTTTAGCCTTATATACCAAACCTGAAGTATGAAACCTGTGTGAGCTGTGTTTCAACCTGCATGTAACGCAGTCATGAAAGTAGCTTTTTATCATGTGAGAAATATCAATAAAGTTCAACCTTTTCTATTTCAGAGTGACGCAGAGAAACTTGTTAATGCATTTGTTACAAGCAGAGTTGATTACTGTAATGCTCTTCTTACTGAACTTATTAAGAAAACAATAAATCCTCCACAACTTGCACAAAATGTGTCAGCACAGATCCTAACAAAAACAAAAAAGAGAGATCACATCACTCCCTTTTTGAAAAAAGCTGCATTGGCTGCTAGTATCTTTTAGGATTGATTTTAAAATTCTGCTTCTAGTTTTTAAGGCTCTAAATGACCTAGCACCAGTGTACCTCACAGAATGTTTGTCTGTTAATGTTCCAACAAAATAGCCATCTTTTGCTATTATGATTCTAAACTGTGGTACTTCTATTAGATAGTCAAGCTCAGCTCACACATTTAAGAAACATTTAACAACACATCTCTTTAGCTTCAATTAAAATTCTACATCTCTTTGGTATTTCTTTTTAACTTGATCTGTCAATGTCTTGTCTATTACTGTAAAATTGTATTACCTGTCTGTAAAGCACTTTGAGCTGACACCAGTATGAAGAATGCTCTATAAATAAAGATTATATTATTATTATTATTATTATTATTATTATTTTATTATTTTTATTATTATTATTATTATTATTATTTTTAAGGGGAATTGTTTATTCTGTGTTTTGTGGACAATTCATTTAATTTGATTAGCATGATAATGGCCATCTCTGCAGCAATTCCTGGTAAGATGGGCTTCTGTCTTCTTCCACTGTCGTACACAGACGGAATGCTAGCATGACTAATCTACAGCGCATATTTAACAAGAACAAAGGGCAAGCTGACAGCTATGATCATTTAGGTTTTGGCCCCCTACTTGGTACTATTCGAAATGTGTAAAGTGTCATACAGTGACAGACCATTGTCACAAGGGATGCACTGATCTCTGGGTCTGGATTTCACCAGTTATGCATACATGTTTTCACTTCAAGTCCTTAGTTAACACTAGTCAGTTTCAAACTACCATCGTAGTTGTTTTATTAAATTCAGTTGCATCACCAATCCGTAAGTAATGTCTTACTGTGACAAAAGCTAAATGCCTTCACTCTAAAATGGCAAAGATAAATTCAGAGCCAGTCAATAAACATGCTGCCATGGAGGCTCAGGGAAAGTTAAGCTGACTTTTTGCTTTTTTTTAACAAATTTATGTTTTTAAAATCGATTTGAATAGAACTGAATACCTATAGGTTTTGTTTATTTATTGTTTGTTTTTATATTTTCTTGTGACAGCTGAATGTGCAGCTTTTTTAAACAACAATTTAAGTTTGATTTGCATAAACACAAATTATAACAAGATTACATTTGAACCAGTGATGGGGTGATGTGCTACAAAGTAAAACGTTACAGTAATATGATTACTTTTTCCTATAACGAAGTGGTGTAGCGTATTACAATGTCAATTCTTGTAATCAAATTACAGCTACTGATTTAACAAGAATGTTGTTCCTTTTGTTACTCATATATTTCTAAGAGAACAACATTATTTATATGTGATGGATTTAAAACATACATGTTTTACATACATGTGTGGTCAATTGTCTTTTTTTCCTGTCTGAGGCTTGTCTGAACTTGCTCAAGGAGGCAATGAGGCCTGTCTGAGCTAAAACTCTGATGTGCCTTTGATGCACAATAAGCAAAAGCACATGAAAACAGAAATAGTCATCTCTGTTTTGAAGGCAACCAGAAGAAAGTGCTAAGAACCTTTTTTTGCACTGAACGCCTTCGGAAGTGTCTTTGCTTGTATACTGTAAGTCACAGCCTAAATAAGGCGAACAAAGTGTGCTAAAGGTGCTTGACCCTGGGGGGGGAGGAATGTTTATATATTAGAGACAAGATTCGTAGAAGTGGCACTTTGCAATCCTATGGAAAAGGGTAGGTCCAAATACTAAGTATAAGGTTTCAAGCACAGGCCTGCAATATGAGTGAAACGGTAAGAAAACAATCATCTGGCTTTGAATATGGCCTGCAGGCTCGTCTGCAGTTTAATTCACCTTGTGCCCAGAGTGGTATACAGTGAGTGTACAGTTCCATTGTACAGCATCGTACAGCATTAACACGTTCTGTGAACGGCAGTGAACTTGCCACTATCTTATATTGCATAACCTGAGTAGCATGGCTGGCACAGTCGAAAATGCAACCGGCATGGCAGCGTTACAGGACAAACTGTGACATAGCTCTTCACCTTCATAATAAACCGTCTCCAGCAACGCTGCTGTTTTGGCCCATAACTCAGTTAATATGAGCAGAATTTTTATGCAACACCAGATTGAGTCCCTGCAACCGTTGACTTGGACTCCAGCCAACATCAGCTTTGCTGCTAAGGGGAGAGCTAGGCCCCCTTTGTCTGCCTTTTCAGAATATTCATACAGCACAATGAATTGGCTAATTTATGGTCATGGGATATGTGTGGGGTTCTTTCAGCCCCTCGCCGCATACAATCTTTTTGGAAGTGCTGTGTCTGGCAGATGAGAACAATTGAGATATAGTGGCATGGCGAGATCAAAGATAAAGTGTCAAGCACATATTTGGTGTAATTATTTTATGATGTGTTTATCTTGCATGTCCAGTGTATTTGGCTTGAACTTTTGTAGGCTATACTTTCAAAGACCACATACTTCAAAATTCCAAAGGTTATAAACAATTTACTTTTTTACAAGCTGAGGATAGACCTAAAAAGGCTGTGGAGGCACTCTAAGGCAAAAACATGCACCGATATTGAAGTACAGCTATAATAAACACTCTGAGCTACTAAAGTAAGATATGCAAAAGGACTGAAATACAAATAAATTTGTGTGTTTTGTACATATACTAAATGATTATTCCATTAGTTTCAATTTGGAAGAGCCAAAGGAAAAATGCCCATGTCTGTGCATTTCAGACATAGCCTCAGTCTGTTTTAGGCATGGCAGATGGGTCAGCAGGGGCTGATCAGCTCTTTAATCAGGGGGTTGGATGTACTGTCGGATTTTATGGTCTGGTGCCTCAGGTTTTCATTTCCATTACCAATGGCCCTGTTTCCAGTGCTTCCAGTAATTTAGAATCAGACAAATTTGGGGAATGTCATTTACTGCCATCTATTTGGCCAGACAGATGCATTGCATTAATTACAGTGGAAATACATTCTAATTGAATTTCCATAATATAGTATTTACATTCAAGTTGTACTGATTATGTGCAGTACCTTTTCCCATCAGTATATTTGGGTGCATGTTTAGATAAGTTATCAGAGCAGATTAGAACAGTAGGCTCTGTCACTGTTCCACTGGGTGGCTACGTGCAAAGTTCTGCTTTTCAATACAAATGCACACCATGCACACCCAAACACTTGACATCCAATCTGCCCTCCAGCTCTTTTAGGAGACAGAAAACTCCCCATTCAGCCTTCTAAAGCTGATTCTTGCTTTCTAGTGTTCTGAGATCCTTTTTACTTGGACAGTAGGACAGCACAGCCAGGGGATTTCTAGCAGCTAACCTGCTCTGTAATTAGGCCACCCACATTCACGGTCATGTGCCTGATATTGGCTATTCTAAAGGAGCCCTGTCTGCTCCATATTGAATTTTGACTGACGGGGGTTAATAGGACACAGGAAATGACTATCTCTGTCTGAACATGACAGTACTTCAGAGCATTTCTTTTCACTGATTTTGGTAGCTTTTTATTAACTGATACTGCAGGGCTTAACTAAACAGGGAAAAAACATTTCAGCTGTTCTGTGACTTACTTTGATTGGAACGGTTCTTATTTTGAGTTGAGTGATTTAATTAATGGTCTAGATCATTTATTCACTTCAGCATGATATTGATGGTGGATAAAAGATAGAAATCAGAAACTTTCCATTAAGAAAGAATTAGTGTAAAAACAAAATCATGGCATTGTTTCTTATTCACAACAGATGCCATACAAAGCTTTGTTACTCCATAATTAAATTTCTTGTTCCCTTACTTCCTTAAAATCTAATACTTTGCATCTTATGAAGAAAATGTGACAGGATCAAGATGAATTTGACCTTGTTTGAATCTGAGGCAACGCTCTGTCAAAAGCCTTTTTATATGTCGGCTCCTTCCCCAATCTTAGCGTTGAGGCGAAGGCTTTTGGATATTAGGCTGCTTTATACGAGCTGATGATAACATTACACACTCCTTTCTGAGAAGGCTCAGTGTTACAGTTCTGAGAAGGAGTCGCTGGCAAGAGACCTGAACGAAGCCATTCAACTTCATCTAATTAGGGAAGCCGAGGGGGGCGGGTTGATACTGTGTATACGATGCATGTTGTATGTACATGCTTGATATTTCTTTTCCTTTGGAATAATGGCCAAATATGAGGTATGAATGAGTAATTTATAATAATAATAATAATAATAATAATAATAATAATGAGTGATATGAAACATGTGAAATTAAAAACAGACCTTGCCTCCTAAACACTGTTGTATCAATCCATTGATCAAAGTCTTAATTGCTCTATAACATATTACACTATGGAGTGCTTTCTTATTACTGCACTTTCTTTTCGCTGCATTTTCTTCGTGGCCTACCACTGGCCTAGACCAGAATCAACGCGCACAAAATGTATAATTCTGCCACCTAACATGTGGAGGTTACGTAACATCTTAGGGACAGTTCCTGCAAGCCAGTTGCGTTGCGTGCAAAGCAGCAGTCCGCGCTGCAGCCAATCACGAACAGGCAGAGGCGGCGACAGTCTCTCCGAGGGTGGAGCTAACGTGGGCTCGGATCATGACGCAATTTGATTGACGTGGCTGGGTTTCGGTGCGCCTGAGAACGAGTCCGGTCTCCACAGTCGCTCGGGCGGAGTCGTCAGGATAATAGAGCATACGAGCCTCTTAAAAATTAAGTACGAAACATTGTTTCGGAGCGAAATTAATTCAACCGCTGGAATCTCTTATTTCGTCGAGAAACGTCGTTTGAAGAGGATTTGGTTAAAACTTGCCATTTGTTCATTTGTCGGAAAAGCTATCTTTTTGAGCTAACGCTGCTAGCTAACCTAGCAGTTTTTACGGGAAGGGAAGATTTTCACGGCCCAGCGTTGACGGGACCCCATGCAAGTTGCCAAAGTGAGTAGCTGCCGTTTTCGCTTTATGTATATATTGCGCATATTATTGTACGGTTCGTTGTTCTTAGTGTTATCCGATGCAATGTAGCGTTGTTAACGTATTCACGGATGTTTCGGACTCCGTTTTAGCCACATAATCGCCTTTCTTTCATGTCAAGTTCGATTGTTCAGTTTGTCTGGAACAGCTTGTTCCATTGGCGAAGCGGAGCAGTGGGAGTGCATTAGTTCCTGAGCACTTTAACAGCTACCTTACTCTGCGTTCTAAGTGTACGATTGTTTTGCATACAACATTGAAAACATTGTCGGAAGGGCTGGTTTCTGCGTAATTTCACTTAAATGTAACGTTATTCAGTTGGTTAGCCCCATAGCTTAGTGTGCTCTAGCTCTGGCTCTAGTCTGTAAAATCCTCACAAAGCTTAGCCATTGAGCTAGCTAGCTAGCTTTTTTTCGCTAATGTTAGCTACCGTTAAAGTTTGCTAACGCTAGCACAGTGTGGAAAGCTAGGTGAGCATGTGGCTAGCAGTCTCGGTCTTGAAAACTAATCGAGTTTTCCTTTGTTAAAGATCAGCTATCTAAAACTGCGCTGTGCAGTTTATTTTAAATGTCATTTGTTGTTTATTTCGTTTAGGTAAAGTATACTAGCGATAGAGATGACCTGAGCTCCTAACCACGATAAGCCTGCATAATAAGGTAGCGTCCGAGTAAGCTTCTCAGATGTCTCCGTTAGCTAGCTAGATTTCCTAGGCGTCAATTGCTGTCTTTCGTTACATAGTCTAAGTAGTCTGCTTAGTTACATACATATTAACAGGAGAGAAGGTTTCTGCTTGTAACAAAAAAGACAATGTGTAGCAGAACTGTATGTCCCGCCAAATAGAATGGACTAAACTCAGAGTAGGAGGTATATTAATTCACTAACTACATGAGCACAAGTTTGGGTTGATATGAACTTGATATGACTTTTTCAGGTTTCTAATTGAAATAAATTTGGCCCCAACCCGTTGTTGCATTGCATTTCGTTTTCATTGCAGCAAGTTGTTCTGCAAGCATGTTGTGTTACGTATCACTGTAGTTCAGAGCAGTGTGAACTGGGACGTCAATATATGCGCGCTTTTTTACAATGCATTTTTATGTTCTTTAGTAGCTTGTTCCACATTGCACATTAATATAATGCTTTTAGCTTTCTGTGATTTCTCACTAGAAAACACAGTGACGTCTAGTTACTGTTTTGTTTGTTTATTGAAGAAATCTAGAATTTTGATCGCAATATGTTTTAATAAGGTACTTATATTTTACAGTTTTTTTTCAATTATATGTGTTATGACATTGAGGTGATTTGCTTTATGGAACTGTATTAGTTGCGCTGATAAAATGTGTGCTTTGCTTAGAAAATGGCTTCTCTTTGTTGCAGGTCTTGGTTACATTAGCCAAAGCACTGGAGCAGACCAATCACAGATGGGAAAATTGTGTCTGAAGCACCGTGAAGGTGTTCTAGATCACTGGAGAATCAGTTTCACTTAAAGGACAACCTACTGAGGGAGAGACTACAGCATGATACAGTACTTGAGTGTATAGGTTTCAAAAAAAGACATTTTTGACTGTTAGTAGATACTTTGTCATACCCCAAGAGTGGTTTATCAAGAAAAGCCATTGCAGGGGACTGTAAGAGACAAAAGAAACAAATCCCAACCATTTTGAGAAATATCCTGGCACAAAAGCATAAGGAATACTAAGAAATCAAGATGAGCGCAGAAGGATATCAGTACAGAGCACTATATGACTACAAGAAGGAGAGAGAGGAGGACATTGACCTTCATGTCGGGGACATACTCATAGTGAGCAAAGGTGCTCTATTAGCACTTGGCTACAGTGAAGGTCTGGAAGAGAGACCAGAGGAGATAGGCTGGCTGCCTGGTTATAATGAAATGACTCAGGAAAAAGGGGACTTCCCTGGTACCTATGTGGAGTTCATTGGCAAGAAGAAGATTTCTCCTCCGACCCCCAAACCAAGACCCCCCAGGCCTCTGCCTGTGGCTCCAGGACCAGCCAAGAATGACTCGGACTCTGAACAAGGAGGTGAGCGGGGTCTACTTTAGAAACTTTAAGCTTTAAGCTACTTCTGCCTTAAACTGCAGCTGTCCACCATTTTGTGCAGCTGCAGGAATTGTTGGTTTAGTGCCCAGGAAACCCTCGAGGTTCATTTTAGTTAGGCCACTCTTTAAAACAAAATTCAGCAAGTCTACAGTTGTTTTTATTTATATTAGTCATGGCAATGGTTGAAAGGTGCACAGTTTTAACACATAATTGTGCACTAAAAAGCCTAAAAATACTTACCCACTCTGAACTCCCTTTTAGAACTAGTGACCAATTTTTACCACCTTTTCATCAAGAGATTAGATTTATGGTCACTAGATACAAATCTTCCTTGATTATTTCAGGACGTTTTGTTTTTGCGACAGGCATAGTTCATAATTGCAAACATAGCTGGAAGCCTGTATTTGGAGTAAGGCCTATACACATTTGTGTCTGCTGTATAGTTATCAGGGATACTTTTTGGATATTTTATGTTCCCACATCACAGTGGCCAGTGATCTGGCCATTTAGAGCCTCACATTGTCCCATTCACACCTCCATGAGCAGCCTAACACTTTGTGAAAGATTGCAAGATTAGCAGAATCTTCTGCTCTGACCTCAGTCCAGTTTTTATTGTTGCTTATAAACTTTATTGCACAGGTTTAGATAAGATACTGATTGCTGAACAGCAAAATTGGGGAAGGTATTTTTCAACTTTTTTTTTCAGTAGAACTGTAATATCCTGTTTGTAGTTGAAAGTGGTTGTTACTGTTTCTAAAAGTGTTCTTGGGACCATAGTGGTTTCCACTCACACATAAGGGGAAATTGACAGATTGAACAAATCAAAGCTCATGCACCATGCCTGGCCAATGCTGTGCATAGTGCGTCACCAGTTTTCTTCTTTGGTGTGTTGCATTAGGTTCTGATTAAGATATGCTGGGAGAAACATTGTTGCCATGGTGGCAAAGTGTGTGGATGTGTTTTCATTGGTGCACAGAACATTAGATTATAAGTGAGAGATTGCTGCGCTGTAATCGTTGGTGGTAAAATCATGTATCCCACAAGTCATCTACTTCCTGACCCTGTGTCGTTTATCGCTGGTGTAATTTTTTTGTGCATCATGCTAAAATTAAAAAAAAAAAACACACACAACCCAAAGCACTATCAGTTGTTGCTAGAAATACAAAAATACTCATGCAGACATTTTCTGACATTTTGCTGTTGCCTCAATGGCACAGACAATGTGTGCAAAGCTTAGGAACTTTTGCTTTGGATAGGCTGTCAGGTTTGGTCCATGTTAACTGGCCTAAGCAGAATACATTAGTGGAGAAGGAGGTTAACGTGAACAACATTTGTAGCCTTGATAACAGAGCCTGAGCTTTTGGAGCTATGCTGAATGGAGACCAGACCAAGAAGACTGGCTGTCTGCCGGGGCCTAGTGCATTGTGGGGACATGGAACTAGTTACCAGTGATACTTTGTCATGCCCCTCCTGCATCAAAAGCAGTTAAAGTTTGTCATTCTTTTTTTTCTTTGTTAATCTGTAATAGGTCTAGACGTGAATTTTAAGAATCTAGTTTTTAATGTACGAATATGACAAAGGTGTCTTGCACTGTTGTTTAGACAAAATGGGAAATATTTTGTTTCAGAATGTCTTAAATTTTTATGCTTATCTCATTTGGGAAAGCAAATTTTAATGCCCCAAAACGTTGTTCATCCTTATTAATATTAGATGCCAGATATGAATGGCTTTGTTTACTTTAATATGATCTGTAAAATATTCTTCTTACTATTAAGAACAGAATTTTCGGTATTGAAGGATGGTGTGAAAATCTTGACTCCACCCAGTAACAGGTTTGTATGGGGTCTTGAAGTCCCTATGAGAACTGATTGTGAAATTCCTGCAAAGTCTGGCATGGCTTACTCTCCACATTGAAGTCCAGCAGTGTTGAGTGGCAGCCCCAGAGCTCCGTGTGAGGGTGAATGTGGCACCGGGAGAAGAAAAGTCTCTGTGTTTGTGTGGGTGGGAGGTGGAGAGAGAGGAGCTGGGGCCTGCAGCGGTGGGGCTGGGGCCTGGGGCCTGCAGCCTGGATTCTTGTTGCTTCATGGCATGATTTATTACCTGCCACTGAAGGATCTGGCAGATCTCTCCTGCTTGCTTTTCCTTTTCGTCCCTCCCTCTCTTCTCTTCTCCTCTCCTCCTCCTTTTAATGTTTTGATAATGTTACTGGGGCTGGGCCCAGCTCATGCAGAGAGGGAAAAGTTGGAGAGGGGCAAGGGGTGGATAGACAGAGGGAGGCAGTAAGGGGAAGGGTCAAAAGTGGGGGCTCGAGCTCGTTTTCGTGGCTGCTCTCTGTCTTGCTCTCTCTCTCGCTCTTTTGCTCTCTCTCTCTCTCTCTCTCTCTCTCTCTCTCTCTCTCTCTCTCTCTCTCTCTCTCTTTCTTTCTCCAAGCCACAGGGGCTTACTTCAGAGAGCAGCAGATGTGGAATTTCAGCCTGTTCCGGCTCCCAAGCTTTTAAAAACACTAATGTGCTCCTTTTTGTGGGCCTCTAGAGCAAGAGGAGCTGTACGCGCCCAGGCGAGGCCAGCAGAACCCAGCCCTACACTGGATTTACTAAAATCACAACTGCTGTCTTTCTCATTCTACTTTACTTTCAGAGCCAGAGAATTGTAATCTGCATTCACCATTTTTGTTGTTCACCCTTCACACTTACAAATGAACAGATAATTTAACAGCACCATTTATACTCAATTGCATTTGTTCTCAAGTTCCTTGATGCAAGACGTTTGCAAATTCTTCTGTTCATTTAGTATGAAGTGAATATACATAAAACCTGAACAGTCAAACAGAACTTGGTTAAAGGCTGATTTGTTGCATTATGTAAAACTTTGCTGAGTAGCACCTTGCGAAATTATCGCCTTTTCCCCATTAGGAGAGCGTGTGTGAAGAGAGTGTGTGTGTGTGTGTGTGTGTGTGAGTGTGAGTGAGGGCTCTTGACATTAGTGCTGTGTCCTGTTGATGTTGAGCCCATATTGGTAAAAGTGATGTCTAACCCTGCTGAGATGGACATGGCTGAGTTTTTGATTTCTATCAAAGGGAACAGTTTGTTGCGACCTACTCTGATACCTGTCACTTTCCTATGCCATGGATTTGCTCTTCAGTGTTTATCTTTTTTTTTTTGAGTAAGGGTAGTGTGGCACTAGGACAGGAACTTATATTTTAATATGAAAGTTGTAGATGTCCATGTTCTGCTGAGGGTGCTTAAAGTGAAAACTTCTACTTTGTTGGAGTAGAACTGATTACTGTGTGCAAGTCCATGCAGGGCGTACATGCTTTGTTTCGCACCGAGAAATCTGATGCCCCCCCTTCTTTCTTAACATAGTAGCTGATGAGTGTCTGTGCAAAATCTTTTATTCTATAGGCCCAAACAGATTGGAGATTAGTTGCCTTACCTTTCTTTCCTCATAGTTTTATCTTCTTTGATGGTCTGTTAGTCTTTACTTTGAAGAGGTGGCCTGCACATTTGAGGTAGACTTTCATGAGCTGTTCTTAATGCAGATTGTGAAAACTGCTGCACACTGTATATTTTGAGCATTTAGGTTTGAGGGAAAAGGAGGGGGGGGGGAGAAGCCTCTCCTGCACGCACCCAGACAAATCACTAGGAGAGTGCCTATAGTCATGCCTGAGAAGTGAAAGAGAGGCATCGGCAGTTAAGTGAAAAACCAGAAAAGAGAGATTTGGTTTTGGAGGTGATCAAGCGCACAAGCGTGTGAGGGAATAGCAGGGTAGAGTACATGTCACATAGCTGGAGTTTGAGATAATGTAGCTTTCTCCTTTTCTGGGGCCTCTTCAGTGCTCAGCCGAACATCTGCTGTGTGGAGTCGCTCACTGAGGGAGAATTGTTGCTGGGCTTCACAAAGAATGTGCACTTTCCCCTAAACTCAGGAGTAAGCAGCTGGGGGTTGCATGTAACTCCCCCCACATCATTTCAAGCCTCTTCCCCTGAGCACAGCAAAATAGATATTGGGGCCCAACCAATATATCATTTAGCCGATACAATTGGCTGATGTTAGTAATAGAAGTGCATGCATGAACATAACTTGTTAACACATAAAATATATTAAAAACTATATTAAGAGAACTGATTAAAAATAAGAGATAGTTAACTACCTAATAAGGAGTCTAGAAAGTGCCAGTACTTTGTGAGCTTCTGCTGTTTGAATTTGAAAAGTGTCACAGTTTATAGTTGACAACCAAAAACGTCAGTCAACAAAGCACAGTTCAACAAACTGTCTCTTTTTATTTATTTATTTATTTATTTATTTATTTTTTTGACTGTATGAAATTATATTAGCAGATATCAGTTATTGGAGTGTCTGTGTTCATTTTCTAAGAGATTTACTCTCGTCGCACCCCACCTTGGGAAATAATAAAAAAAGACAAACAAAAAAAAAAAACAAACCCTAACAAATGCTTGGTGCAGTGTGTCTGTCCAAAAATGACAACCCCCGATTCTAAGAGCTGGCGGTTAGGCCAGGGCCAGGGCCGAACTGCAGTTGTGGTCATGATGACGTGCGTTCCTGTGGGCTAGCCTGCTGGACAGCCTGTGCCCAGCAGACAGATTTAGCATTGTGCTGAACCAGTACAATTGTTCCTGTGTGCTGACTGCATGCAGAGCCGCTGTGGAAGACATGGCCATGCCGAGCGTACCCAAATGACCACTCGTTGCCGTTTTAAATAAGCAGTGGTTGAAACGAGTTGTACATTGTGTGCCTTGGAACAAGCTCAGAAAGCTTTTTATTCCATGGTGTTTCATGTCAAGAAAAATAAATGGGTGTGTTACTGATAATAGGATGCTATGGCGGAATGACTTGCCAAGCAGTTCCCAGAGAAGCCCCTTCCTCACCACCTTCGTTGTTTCTTTAATTCTTAGTTAGAATGTGCATTCAGACTAAGGGTGCAAATCTCTAAACATCACACGATTCAATATAATTTTGATTCAGGGTGCTAAAATGTGATACATTATTTTTTAATGCTTACATCTCTAAATTTTTTATCCTTGTCTCATTAACTTAGTTGAATTCAACAAACTAAACTACTTTGTGTTGATCTTATTGTTTACATCACGTTGTATTCAGTGGTGGCTAATGTTTTTGCTTCAGAATTGTTTGGCCTTGTTGACATTTTTCACTTAAGAAAGGTTTATGCGTAGATCTGTGTAAAAGTTTATGATTATGATGTTTTGTAACATCAGTGCAGATTCTGAGAGAGAATCACTTCATTTAATTTTTTTTTTTTCTTTTTCAGAATTACAGATTCTTTTATTGTAGAGAACAACCAAAAAGCAATTCCCGATTCAAGTGAATTATAAGAAAGGCTCTATTATGATGGCATATCCAGAATTAACATCTAGAATATCTCGTGTTTGAAAAGTGGTGTTTGAGTCTTGAGGCAGATAACTTAGCAAGTATTTAGTAGTATCATTTGATTACTTACCAAAAAAATTAAAATTTCATAAAACAACGTATTTCTTTTTTGGTATCTAGCTTAGTGTTTTAAAATAAAATGTATATAAATAACTGTGTATTTTATTTACGTACATACATACACACATTTATACACCTATTTTACCTGCTTTCCTGAATATGCACTTGGGCCATGGCTTATGAGAGCTGCAGTAAAACGCTTGTGTTTATGGAGCCCTGTGCGTGAGAGCGTGCACATGTGCCTTTCATTACTGATCGCCTCCAGAGATGCAGGGCTGAATTGGCAAATCTTCTTACTGGAGGCCGAGCATGTCTGCTCTACGGATTAGCAACACGTTGCAAAGAAGGGAGAGAGAAGGAGCAAAAAAGGAGAACTGAAATATGCCCTTGAATAACTGAAAGTTTAACAGCACGATGAACCTTTTTCTTCTTTACTTGGCAGGTAGTTTTGGTGTTGTGTAATACTGAAGACAAAGTATAGGGATCTTAAATGATTGTGAACTAAAGATTTTCTGCATAAGAATATGAACTGCTGGGGGCAAAGACCTATTAAAGAACATCATACCTGTTTTCATTTGTTTTTTATGTTTATTTATTACTATTATTATTATTATTATTATTATTGTTGTTATTATTATTATTATTATTATTATTATTATTATTATTATCATCATAGAAACAGATGTCACTGTCTTTCATTTTGAAACTACATTTGCTATTGGTTTTCCAAGAAGAGCCATGTTGCATGCTAGTTCAAACCATATCCAGGTTTATTAAGGAATTTTTTCAGGTGTGCTTGTTTTTAGATTAGATTAACTCTTTCTAAAACTAAAGTGGGGGGCTAGAGACATTTTTATGTAATGGGGTTGTAGTGCATTTTGCAGAAATGTTGTCCACTGGGGGATGTTCTTGTTTGTGGGCTTAATGACATTGGTTGCTGAACTTAAAACTTGTTTTACACCGTTAAGAACATACATTCACAATGGCCTTTTTCTCTCCCGGTCCCTTAAGCTAGGCTATAGGCTAGTCTCACATGGTATAGTACAAAATATGATTAGTGGCTTGAAACATTAAAGTAGAAGAGGTAGCTCAAAAGCTAGAATGAGATCCATCAAACAATACTTCTTTTAGAAAGTTATGCTTTTTATGCTTTCACTGTCTGTGCTCCCTGAGAGATCCTCTCTTTTCTACCTATAGAGGGAGACATTGTGTCATTTTTCAAATGGCTGAGGAATGTGACACTGTGGTTTGGTCTGTCCTATCTTTCACTACTGCCTAATTTATTTTGCTCTGACGGGATTATCGTGATTGACCTTTTTTTGAAATTATTGCCTCTTGGGTTGAACTGAGGGTGAAACAAGTATGCATGGTCACTTTGTGGTTAACTCACCTAAAAAACTTTTTGTACTCTGCTAAAAAATGTACAGTGGCTCCCTTATGGCTGAATTGGAACCACTACTACTAAAAGTCAGTTACAGCAGTTAATTTGACAGCAAAAAATGTATTTATTTATTTATTTTCACTTCACCCCATCATTGGACCCTTACTGTGGGTTTGTGCTGTGACTAAATGATCATCTAAGAGAAGTGAACAGGCCCTAATTTTAACTCCTGGGCCAGCTATCTTTAGCTCTGTATAGGGCTTCTCTGGCCACATTCTGCAGTTCAGTCAGTTCAGACATACTGTCTGAATGAGACTTTTCTACACAACATTGCTACCTCATGACTTCCACAAATCTTGGTTCTTCTTTCCCTGAACCTTTTGGGATAGAAATGAGAGCGCTGTGTTGCATACAGCCTGAGGCCTCTGTGGACTTGCTCTTGCCCTATTCCTCCTCCTAGTGTTACCTTGGTAACCAAAGTCGGAGCAGCTGTTCCTATTGGTCAGGTGAAATAGACCTCATGCCGCATCACACATTGCCTGTTTGATTGTTCCCTCAGAACATACACCTTTTTTTCTGCTGGGTGACAGTTTTATCTACACGATGGTAACTAGTTCCAAATATTGTTTGTTTTTGTTTTTGGCTTTAAATGCAGTAATTTCTCTGACTTTCTTTATCTCCTCAGCTTGAGAATTGATTTTTTGACACAGATAATTCAAACGGATGCTGTTTTCAGCTTGGGCTTTCTAGAAACTCTGGATGCATGTTGGAGTGTACACCCTAACCTCAAGGAAGCCTGCTGTGTGCAAGCCTGATAGTTTTACAATGTCAGCAAGCTGAGCAAAGCTGAGGATCAGGGTGGCGTGAGCACACAAACTACCGTTGGGCTGGGAGAGGGGTGGCTAAACCTCCTGCAGGCATTAGGATTAATGACTTTCTTGCCCCGAGTCCTGCGCGACTGACTCTGTCCTTCAGCGTCACTTTCTTTGTCCACCTGACTGCTGGTCTGGCCAAAGGCGTTTCGGAGAAATGCCGGCGTGATGAGCCGAAACATTTCAACTATTTTTCTTGGTGTCATTCAATCTGAGCACCCTGAGGGCCAGCACTATCAGGTCACTCTGAGTTCCTGGGAAGCAACACAATCCTCCTCCTCTCCTTAGCCTGTGCCTCTGTAGCCATGTTTCTCCCACCAGTGTAAATAAACGTAAATAAAAGACGATCAGGAATTTGCTTTTTACTGAACTTGATACTTCGGGCTGGAGATTTTTGCTTTATTTGGTGGTTGTGTATGGGTTTGTGCTTAAGTAAATGATACTACTGAAACAGTTGTGAGTGATAAGTGAGCTTCAGTAAAGAAGAACACCTTAAGTAGAGCAGAGAGAGGGTAAAATTAGCCTCGCTTTCGTGAATCCCGCTTCTGTGAATCAGCTGTCTGGTTCTGCCCATACAGCAGCCATGGATAGAGTGTCTGTCCATGCTAAGGGTTACACTTTGGACACATGTGGGAACAGCACTCATCTCTGAATCTCTATATGAGGAAGAACTCTGTATCTCAGTGTTACCATACTTCTTAGAAAATGAACAACACATACTCATGGTTGCTATGAGAGGAAGATGTGGTGCAACATGTTCTCTTGCGTTAATACACTACTTGGTCATGCCCTTTTCCTGAAGCAATAGACCTGTACCTAAGCATTATTTTTAACAACCTAAATGACTAGTTTTCTGTGCATGGCAATTTTTCTTTACTAGATCATTCATCAGCTCCACCAGTCACTGTGGATAAGCTATTGGGGGAAGGGGTAATTTTGGTGCAAAAATGGAATGAACTGCAAAGAGGGTTCATTCATGACCGCTCACGTTTAACTCTGCCGCCTCCCAACACAACGAACAGCCGGGCCTTTGAGAAACATTGGCTTTCTGAAATGCTGGGCCGCAAATCCAAATAAAGCAGCCCGCTGGCCCCACAGCCCTTTCAAGTGCACACCTGTGCTGCCAGATCAGAGCATAATCTGCCCGTTAGCTGCTGTTTGCTTAGCCTCCTTGGCCACCTCCACTGCTCATTTAATCACATTCTTCTGCTCAGTGACTTCTTTTTTTCTTCTTTTTTTAAAGGGTGGGGAGTGTGGGGGCACTGGGTGTCCTGTCAAAGCCACTCGTGCACTGACCGTGCTCAGATGTGCTGTCCAAAACCTGCATCCTGTTAATTCTTGATATGTCACATAAACCCATAAGTGCATGCTTCAAAGACTGCTTCACTGTATTTTTGGTCTGTTTGGTGGACCCAAAGTGGCCACCATCACTATTTTGGGAAAAGCTGGCAAGGCTGCATGTTGGCATTTTGATGTACAAGGCTGTGTTAATGGGATTTTTGATGCTCTTTTTTTCTGCAGGTTCTAGCACTCTGCTGGATCTGACAGAGCAGTTTGCCCCTCCAGAGACGGCCCCACCCACGCTGCTCAAACTGTTGGATGCAATTGAGAGGAAAGGTGAGTGCATCTCTGATTTTGTCTCTCCATGTCTGTCTGTCTGTCTCCATAATTTTGCTTCCATTTCCTCCCCTTTTTCTCTTTTTCCACTGTATATATTCCTTGTCTCTGTAGGTCTGGACAACCCTACCCTTTACAGGAACTTCACTGCTGGAGGAGGCCTGGATGTCCGACAATGCTTCGATGGTGGTGAGTGGCCTTTATTGATGGCTCTGACCCAGTCTTTTTGCGTTCTTCTCTGGGTCTCTGATAGTGTGTTCTTTTTAGACCCCCCTTCTGTGGATTTGGAGCAGCTGGATCTGCAGATGTTGTGTGATGGTCTCAGACGATACCTGCTGGACCTGCCTCAGCCTGTCATTCACTCTGCAGTTTACAGCGAGATGGTACACATTGTCCAAGGTAAACACACTGTGCCCTTCTGTTTATAAAAAAAAAACAGAATAAATTTTCTATAGACCATTCTGTTTTTTTATTTCTTTTATGTGCATCTCAGTGTTCGAAAAGAAAATACTAAAAATGTCATGTTCTGACAATATATTCTCATAAGTATTTAGTATTTTAAGAGAGCCTGAAGTCAATGGTTGTCGCTGTTGCTGAAATTATAATGCAGGTACCACATGGTGGAGCTCTTGTTCTGAAATCTGATTACAGACTGCTTGTTACAACCACAATCATTCTTCACCATTAATGCTGCTGTTAATCTACTGCTTTTTTGTTTGCTGTGAACTTTTTGCATATTGGCCTAACTCTCCCCAGCCCAAAGATGGGCCCCAACTGATAACCATGTATGTGGGTAACAGTTTTTACCGTCCTGTTATGTGTCTGTGTTTCAGCAGTTATGTAAATACAGTTAGCATAACTCTGTTTGAGCGTTTGAAATTAGCCTGGAGCAGAGAAGATGACCTTATCTGCTCCTTCTGTACAACTGAACAATATTTTGCTCAGGGATGTCAAACTTTTGGCTGTAACAGGACTGTAATTATCAGTTCAGACAGAGTAAGAGCAGCTTTTTTTTTCTTTTGCTCTGCTAGCTACTTACAGCTGGTTATCGTGCAGTCACGTTGCACAGCACAGGATATATGTGGTTAATAAGACCTAAAAGAAGGCTGAAAACTTATCTGCTGCATCAGTCTTGTCAGCCAATCAACTCTCAGTGTACCAGAGTCTCCTCCATTATTGTCACACTTATGATCTTTGTGCGGTTTGAAACCGTCTGAGCAGAATTTTCCAACTGACTGCTGAAACATTTTATTCATTATCTCTACCCTCTGTTTCTCTGCTCACATTTTTGTGTTTAGCTCATGCTTTGTACAGTGATGCCAAGCAGCTGAGGCATTTTTTTTTTCCTTTTCACCCCATTATTTCCTAAGAGTTTAATGTATGTGTGTGTTCTTATGTGTCTCCATATCTGTGGGCTGCAGAGGTACAGGGCTCGGAGGAGTGTGCACAGCACCTGCGGAGGATTGCCAGTTCCTCAGCGCTGCCGCCCCAGTACTGGCTGACACTGCAGTGCTTGCTGAGGCACCTCGCCCGTGTGTGCCAGGCGTCAGCTGCCAACCTGCTGAACGCTCGTGCCCTCGCTGAAATCTTCAGCCCCATGCTGTTTAGGCAGCAGGCTGCCAGGTGCTCCCTTACTCAGCACATGCAACCTCAAATCACATATTCTTTCACATATACATTTGCACAGAGACGCAAGTTTACAAGACACAGAGACAGACTTCAAGGCAGTTTTAAAGACCTAGTATTTTTCATTTAGATTAATCCTACACTATATATACTACACTACATACACTAAAAATCTCATTCTGAAAATATGTATTCTCAGAAGTTTTAATGCAGGTACTTGGACCTTCACTGACTCTCCCTCCTCCCTTTTTCTATCCTTAGCTGTGAGCCCAGCCCTGAGTCCCACATAAAGATTGTTGAAGTCCTGGTGACCAGTGAATGGAGCAGCAGCCAGGCAGCTCCAGGTAGATGCCACTTTCTTTCCCTGTATTCAGCAGCCATATTAAAAGTAATGGCTGTTATGTAATGGCTCTGCATTGACTGTTCACTCATTTGTTTCTGCTATGGATTTGGTTCCTTATTACATAAGAAGAGAGAGGGATTAAAAACCCATAAAATGAATGGTAGGCTTGTGTATGTTATGAGAGAAAGTGAGCAGTATGTTGGGGTAGCATTAAGGGGACTGCGGATGGGAGGAATAGCAGGCGACCTATTGCTATTATTAGCCTGTCAGACGGGTTGAATGTGAAAGCAGTGGCACTGCAGCAGCAGTGGCCTCTGCACCACAGCTCCCAGCTCTCTGCTGCACAAGCCTCCATTTGTTCCAGTGCCCTTTCACAGACCCTCCATCAGCATCCCTCCTGTTAGGTGTGACCATAAGCATGAATGAAAATAGAAAGTACCCGAGTAGGTGCTGCTCTCAGATCAGCACCTACTCGAGTAGACTGCTGCCACATCCTGATGCCACCCTTGCGTTATCGCAGCCCAAGCCACATTACAGGGGTTATCATGTGATTCCACTTCGGTAAGGGGTGCTGTCCCCACAAAGATCCTTTCATAACAACTTTAAAGAGGATTTAGATTGAGGAAGGAAGCCAAGCTTGAATGGTTTGAGTTGTTGGAAGTTGCATGCAGCATTGCTGGGTTTGTCATGGAGTGCAAAACTTGGGTGCTGGTGTAAATCTTTAATGACTTAAGGCGCATTGCAGAACATTAGTATTCCACTCCCCTGCCTTTTGTGGGTCAAGTTGTGTAAGAGAACTGAAGCTGAACTGAACAAAATGCAAGTTCTGCCTTTTTTTGTCTTTATGGATTATTGATAAAGTGGGGCAGCCCATTGAGAGCTCTAAGAAGTGTATATATGTTTGTGTGTGTTTGTGGGGGGTGCGGTTGCTCTGTACACTGTCTGTTTAAAGATTTTATTACCTGTTAGGACCTATTTATACCCCTTCCAAGTGTGGGTACTGCTCAGCTGTCGGTAATTTGCACCTGCAGGAGCCAGGGCTGGGCCAGACGAGTCTCAACTCAAATACACACTTTCACTCCCCTTCTTTCTGTTTGGGGAGCCCAGTTCCTTCCTGTGTTTCTCTCTCACACACACACACACACACACACACACACACACACACACACACACACACACACACACACACACACACACACTTACACCTATGGAGGTAGCTTAAGAGCTGCTTCAGTCTCACATTTGCTGTCTCATTTACTTGCCCATACAAGACTTGGTGTCTGCACATGTGGCAGTGGAGACCGTTGTATATGTTACAGTGGGTAAGAGGGTGCGTACATTTTTGGATTGTGTGTGTGTGTGTGTGTGTGTGTGTGTGTGTGTGTGTGTGTGTGTTTCTGTTTCTGTTTGTCTGTTCATGTGTGTGCCTGTGCGTGTCTGTTCACTCCCAGTTACAGGCGGGCTATTTTAAGCCACTGGCTAAAGGCCCACTTAGATTTGGTTGGCTAGAGGCTCCGTCTACTCCACAGAGAACTCTTGTTAGCTTGCAAGTAGTGGCTGCTCTCACACACATACACATGCTCGCAAAAATACACACACTTCCTAGGACTTCACTCCACCCTCCTTCCCCCTCCTGCCCCTGTCCTGCCTGCACCACATGCCCCTCCCAAAACACAAAGTGCCAAGCTCAGCAAATATTTGAACCTGAGCGAGTTAATCATAAGACGGGAGCCTGCGAGCCAGCACAGTGGTGAGAGCACGAGCACGCAGCAGGGCCGGCTTTTGGAGAGGGTCAGAGCCAGGGCCAGCTACCCCGGCAATCATTAACCAGCTGCCTCGGGCCTGTTTTCCCTCCCACACCGCTTAGCCTACCATTGCTTGTGCTCAAGCTCCAGGATTGGGAGGCACCAACCTGTTGCACCTGCCTCAGTGAGGATTTGCCTGGATTTTGCTTCCATCACCATAGTTGCCTTTTTAAAGAGCTACGTGAAAGGTTCCAGTCGCTAAATCTGCAGAATGGGACAACTCTTAGAGACTTGAGAAGAGGCTATTTTGGATTTACAGCACAGGGAATCTTAAATGGACATATTCTGCTGAACAGACAGCTGGTTTACTTGAACATCTCCACAACATGCACAATTTGCAGCGTAAGTGTGTTGTTTGAAGACTTCAGAACTGTTGGTGTAAAACTTTTGGTATTGGAAGTAAAAGCATAAACCAGTGAGCTAGACAAAAAGGTGTGAATTGCGTGTGATGTGGTTGTGGACCAAGTTGCGTGTGATGGAGTTAGAATGGAGATGTGAATGGAGTTAGACTGGTTTTTGAAAGTGCTGTTTAGTGGAGCAGTTAGACTAGGTTCTTTTCTTAGTGGCTTCGTTCTTTAACCACCCCCCATGACAGGGCCCCATATCTCATCGGTTTTTGCCTCTTGGTGTCTTTTTTTCACAGATGGTCGATAAGTACAGACTCTGACAGCAAAGTTCAGAGCGCAACGTGCCAATAAAAGTGGACTAACCAGTTTGACTCAGCTTGGCCTTGCCTCGACACGACTGAGCATGTGCACGATGAGTCACATTATTCATTTGCTCAATCAATGCATTTTCAACACTGATAGCAAATATTGAGTTGCAGGGGATGTATTGCTGCGTCCCGTTTGACAAGCTTTTATCAGGTAATTTGAATGCAGCCTACGGGGTGAAGATGCATCATTCATAGTTTTGTATTATTTCTAGTATTGTTTAGGGTTCTGAGGTTCGCAGCTACACTTGACCCACTTTGTAGCTGCTAGGAAGCTGCTTCACTGGACCTGTCATGTGATGGGGACAATAGGCCATGTTCCTGGGGCTTCTTTTAACCCTACTGAGTATTGTAACTATTTCAGGTGCCTCCCCGGTCTCAGGCAGTTTTAACCACCCCCACCCCACCCTTGTGCGAGTGTCGCGTTTGGGGGATTATGAGTGGTATTTGTGAGCACTTGCCTGCCTATGACCCGGCCATGTGCTTGACGTAGCAGCTGCCTACGTGCCGCTGCAGCAGCGATCAGCGCTCAGAGCCTTTGTCTGCCTGCCAGCACAGAGGCCGGTCTCAACCACCCCACTAGCTGAGAGGAGGAGCCAAGGAGACCTGCAACAGACAGAGAAGAGGGAGGGAGGGTGGGAGGAGAGAGAGAGAAAGAGACTGAGACACCAGATCCTCTTTTCATTTGAAAGATGCTGTGCTACCATGCACTTCGTGTGTGAGTGTTGCGTTTGATGGCTGTTAGCTTAGAGAATCTGGTCTGCTCTTGACACTGCGTGTTCCTTTAGGCAGTTGGATACTATTGAATGAAGCAGCGGCATTTATTTTTTTTTTTTTTTAAAAACCTTTTTCTCTGGACTGGAAAACGGCAGTGCATTTTCAAAATGACATCATTGCGTTCAGGAAATGAACAACGTAGTGGTGGGCGATGAGGCAGGAGTGGCTAGCAACAGTCCCGCAGTGCCATTGGCTGGGGTAAGTGATGTAATGGCTTCAGCTGACTCCACTCTTCCAGGCTTTTCAAGAAGCGATATTTAGAGCTGCTTGTGAAGAAATTCTAGTTTTGCTTCACAAGGCATTAGTTACGCAGGGAAATTGTGCGTCAGTTGTAGATATGCAACATGGCATTAATTATGACTGATACGGATTGTCGAGGCTTGGATCCAGGCTGCGGGACTGACCTGCTCTTTTATATAGAAGTAGACCCGCCAGGTAAATTCTAAAATTGGTGCATGGTGGTTGTTGTTCATTGTATTGTATGTTCTTGTAACAGGTGCATTCATGTGGAGAGCAAGTTATTGCTGTTGTCTGTGCTTGATAAGAGTTGTCATTGCAGTTGTATTAGATATTAGTCAGTAGATGTGTATTTTCTTCTTACTAGTGGATGCCTATTTGTTGTGAGAAGACAATATGTTTCTGTTTTAAACACATTATCAGCTTTGGTGCATTATTTTGGAGCATGTCCATTTATACGGATATGCCTACATTAATGTCTAGGAGGCTGCTGGGTTGCTACTGCAGTGGGCTTAGTAATGGTTAGTGACTGAAGTGAACAAAGGAGAGAATGGGTAGATGAGGGGGGATAAAAATAGCCCATCGCTCGAGCTCTGCCTCACGTTCCACAGAGACCACACGGCCCCCGCAGCTACCTGTCACTCAACCCAGCAGCCAATCAGTTGCAGCGTTTGCCTGTTACCAGTGATGCAACATGTTCTCAATGGCTGGTGAAAGAAAGCAGCATCTTGCCAGAATTGCAAGCTTTAAGAAGCCTATCATTATGATTCTACTTATGACTGTGAGGTCACTGATATTTCTCTGCTTGGTTTTGGCAATGTTGAAGATGGTTGTCATGCTCGCTCCCCATTGAATGTCAGAAAGGGGCTGTCCAGTTTAATCAGGCAGCCGTTCAGCCACATGTCTTGCTCCGTTTCCAATTTATTGCTGCATCCCTGCAAGCAGTGAAAGAATGGTGAGGGTTTCTCTTTCTTTTTTTCCTGAATGAAATGCATTCTCCTTGACTCACCCTCAGTCATGGTCAGCCTCCCTGCTGGAGAGAGAGCAAAGGCATTCTTTTAGCTCCGCTTAATCAAGTGGAAAGGGGGGGGTGAAAAATCTCACAAAATGCAGAAGCCTCTGCATGCATTAAAAACGTGACTATAACTCTGGTTAAAGTGGGAGATTTTGATTGAGAAAAATGCATGGATGATTTAAGCTATTTCAGTCCTACTTTCCTGCTTCTATCTGGATGAAACCCTAGAAAAGTGTTTTTGTTTTCACATTATAAACTTTCTTCACTCTGCATTCAGATTGCCTGGACATGTCCAAATGTATGGGCTGATACTTGCCCAGGCATGTTTCATATGTAAATGACCTTGATTGAGCTGGTCCATTTGGATGTAAATCAGTACCAGCCTATAATAGCCCACTGTGCTCTTCTCTTCACAGCACTACCTCCGAAGCCACCCAAACCAACCCCTGTCACTAACAACGGTATGAACAACAACATGGCTCTGCAAGATGCTGAATGGTACTGGGGGGACATCTCAAGGCAAGCACTTTTTTTCTGTAGCTCATCTTTCTTTTGCAGCCTTCACACAGAAACAGAAACTTAAAAGGCTTCATTTTGACATCTCTAATGTGGATGTTTCCTCTCTTGCAGGGAGGAGGTCAACGAGAAGCTAAGAGACACAGCTGATGGAACGTTTTTGGTCCGTGATGCCTCCACCAAAATGCATGGGGACTACACCCTCACGCTGAGGTAACTTTTTTACATTTTATCATTACCACAAAGAACCCCTTACTGTGTGCCACGGTGAAAAGGTTTGGTGCGCATCTCTCATGTGATATTAATGTGTATTATATTAATTTTTTAATTTCATTTGGTTTGCAGGAAAGGAGGTAACAACAAGCTGATCAAAATTTTCCATCGCGATGGGAAGTATGGTTTCTCGGATCCTTTGACTTTCAGCTCAGTGGTTGAGTTGATCAATCACTACCGGCACGAATCCCTCGCTCAGTACAATCCCAAACTAGATGTGAAACTGCAGTATCCTGTGTCTAAGTACCAACAGGTAATTGTAATCATAGCACATGAAAATGAAAAGCATCTTAATGGAGGAATGTGTTATAAATTTTACTGCAGTGTGGCATAGAGATCTGAATTTTTTTGTCATCTTTCATAGGATCAAGTGGTGAAAGAGGACAACATTGAAGCTGTGGGCAAGAAACTGCATGAATACCATTTGCAGTACCAAGAGAAAAACAGAGAGTATGACAGACTGTATGAGGAGTACACTAGAACGTCACAGGAAATTCAGATGAAAAGGACTGCTATTGAAGCTTTTAACGAGACCATAAAGATCTTTGAGGAGCAGTGTCAGACACAAGAGCGCTACAGCAAAGAGTACATTGAGAAGTTCAGGAGAGAAGGCAATGAAAAAGAGATCCAGAGGTGAGTTTTAAAGCCCAGACCCAAATGTACTTGAACAGAATCTGCCCTTAGGAAAAACTTATCAGCGCCCTTTACGCAAATCTGATTATAACAAATGCTTCCTCCCAGGATAATGGTGAACTATGAGAAGCTGAAATCAAGAATCAGTGAAATTGTGGACAGCAAGCGTCGTTTGGAGGAGGACTTGAAGAAGCAGGCAGCAGACTACAGGGAAATTGACAAGAGGATGAACAGCATCAAGCCTGACCTCATCCAGCTCAGAAAGACCAGGGATCAGTACCTCATGTAAGTGCCTTAAACTTAACAGGTTCCTAAATTTAAATATAAAGATGTTTTCTCATTTTGATGTTGATTTCTGACATTCTCCCTTGCTCTTGAACCACAGGTGGTTGACACAGAAAGGAGTCAGGCAAAAGAAGCTCAATGAGTGGCTGGGAATCAAAAACGAGAACCAGGATGAGTGAGTATCTGTTATCTTCCATATCATGAAATTCAGGATGTCGCATGTTGGCGTTCTTTTAGGAATTTTGACCCCGATGCTCATTGGTTCTGTTTCTGTGTGGTAGTCAATACTCTATGGTGGATGATGATGAGGATTTGCCCCACCATGACGAGCGCTCCTGGAAACTGGGCAACATTAACCGCATCCAGGCTGAGGCACTGCTGCGGGGCAAAAGAGATGGCACATTCCTGGTCCGAGATAGCAGCAAACCCGGCTGCTATGCCTGCAGTGTTGTGTATGTATCTTTCAGCTGGCTTATAAAGCTACACAACCCATTTTTATCCTTTAAGCCTAAATGACGTTGTTAGCAAAATAAGAATGGTATTAATAAAATGTGTAGTGTAGTGTCCAGGTTAATGGATAAGTGTAATTTCTTAATGCATACATTGTCTTCAGGGACCTCTCTGTTTCAGTGGCTAGCATTCAGTTTTGTGCATCCCCTTGGTTGTGCAGAGGGTAGTTCCACGTGACTACTCTGAATGTGTGGCTCAAAGTCTAAGGTCTAAAACAATGTCTCTTTTTTTCCTTTTTTTTTTTTTTGCAGCGTGGATGGCGAGGTCAAGCACTGCGTCATCAACAAAACCCCTACAGGCTATGGCTTTGCAGAGCCCTACAACCTGTACAGCTCGCTGAAGGAACTGGTCTTGCACTACCAGCATACGTCTCTTGTTCAACATAATGACTCTCTGAATGTTACGTTAGCATACCCGGTCTACGCACACCAGAGGCGATGAGGACTAGTGAACACACACTCTTGGGACTCATTCACAGAGAATGAGAGTTAAGAAGAGGGCCTCTTCTCTCACAGCAATGCCTCCACTTTGGCCTCAGGACGGAGGGCTGTTTTTTCGCCTTTGAACAGCCCTGCTGCAGGTGATAAAACACGAAACCCAAAACGGACATTTTATCCACTGAGACTTCGACCAGTGGCAAGTTTTGAATGTAGTTTTCTTCTTTGAGTGGAAACTGCTGAACGTTTATCTCTCTCTCCCAAAGTGGAGGACTTTGGAGGCCTTTTCCAAATGGTGCTTGTTCATTTCAAAGCTTTACCCGCTGCTGGAATGTGGAACGCTGTTGACAATAACCTCTGGAGTGCATCCTTTGTGTTTTGTTTTTTTGTTTTTTGTAATGCTACTCGGAGCCCTAATCCTCACCCACATGTTTAGTTTGGGTTTACCCTTCCCTCTCTGTGTGTGTGCGTGTGTGTGTGTGCGTGTGTGTGCGTGTGTGCGTGTGTGCGCGTGTGTGCGTGTGTGCGTGTGTGCGCGTGTGCGCGTGTGTGCGTGTGTGTGCGCGTGTGTACCTGTGTTATGGACGTGATGTGACCAAAACTCACAGTATAAGAAAGCTATTCATGATAGGGGTGTTCAACGTGACAACTTGAGAAACGTGAACAGACCATGGAATTAGCTGAACAATGTAGCAAGATGGCACTTTCGAAACAGTATATTCTGTATTATCACATTAAGGACTCCTGTACGAACAACTAAAAGAGTGAACATCTCATCTCAAAGGAGCAAAACAAAGAAGACGGCAGGATGTGTGGCATTTCCTTTGTAAGCATTACAGTGATGAACTATTGACTCCATCTCTCATTTATGAACTAGCAAAGCAAGTAAATGGACCTGAAATGGACATACTTCATGTTGTACATACGGACATCATAAAAAAGAAAAAAAGCCTATGTGATGAATCCATATTGTACCAAAAAATGCTCAGTTCCTTCTCAGTTGTATTCTAATCTGCTATGCAAATTCTGTATCTCCCTTCTTCTCTGCAAAGTTGTGATTTTATTTTACATGTTGCTACCCATAATATAAAATTTTTGTTTTTATTGCTTTTATTGTCTAAATGTCAGTAAGAGGATATTTTAAGTGTCAAAACCGCCAAGAAAAATGGCTTCAGTTTTACAATAGAAATGATACTTTATTACAGATTTCTTTATCAGCAGCTGGTAAAATTAAAGATGAGTATTTTATTAGTCTTTTTCACTTTGAGCATTTTCCTAGGCAGAGCCTGGAGGACTTTAGTGCTGCTTCTGTCAATAGTACCAGTGATATATCCAAACATTTTATCAGAGCAAAGAATTATTGACCTTTTCAATCGCTGCAGTCTAGTGAATTCATATCGGAAAACTCATTAGCCTATAGTTTACTGTTTTCAAACCAATGACAGATTTATTTTGTGATAAATTTTCCACAAATGGAGAGCAAAGCGAATTGATCCTCTGGAATGATGGACATTGTGATGACCCATTTTAGATGGTGAGAGAGTAACACCCCTTCATTCCTTACCAACGTAGTATTTTTTTCTGTATCAGAAAACCCTTACTAGTGTTTACATGGATGGATCAACTCATTTTGACTTGCACCCAATACTAGGCTGATTCTCATATAATGCTGATAAATGCTAGTTCTACCAGCTGAAAGATTTTTTTTTCAGCTTGATGGCCACATTTGTCATTGCTATCTTTTAATTACTCATCAGGAATTACAGTATTCTAAGCTTTATGACTGGTTAAGTCTGTTTGGCATAGAGTTTTGCCTCCAGCTCGAGTGGTGTCTATATTGCAGTTATGCATCCAATGGTATTTTGCATAAATAAACATCATTGTGACACAAGTAATCAGCTTAATAACTTGTTAATGAGTGTATGTGTTCTGCAAATCACTCACCTGCTTGCCAGTTTATCACCAAAGCCAGGTCAGCGCTAAAGTGATTCGATTCCTTGTTTTAATGAGGCCTGATTGCCTTAAAATGAGTTAGTGAGCTAACCCTTACAAACTTTTCAGTTAGGTTAAAGAACCCTTGTGTGCCCCAATTGATCAGCAGTTATGTAGGTTATTCAGTCAGTTCCTGTAAGCAAGTGTTTGTTTGTGGATGGACTGAAAAGTATTATGTTGCACAAAAAAAGTTGCCTTTTCCATAAGCCTCCTTAATTTTTCTGAGCAACTTTTGTAAATGAACAGCTGATTGGTCTAGTCAGTCGGTTTGACACCTAAGATCTAATATTCAAAATAAGATGAAGGCCCAGTTTCCTAAAAGCACTGCAGTGATAAAGAACATTTTTATCATTTGGGAGGATGTTCAAAGTGGTACTTGCTTTGTCATCTGGCAGTAATCTTTGTGCTAGTGTTCTCCACATTTATCTCAAATACTGCAAGAACTGCATCTTCTGCAAACGACTCTCAAAAGAGTTCTTGGTACGAAATCAGGTGATTAAAATGATAACTTCCTTTCATTTGTCAGATAAGACTTTTCCTTTCATGTGTTGTATTTTGTTTTTTTTTTTTTTTTTTTCTACCCCTGGCCACAAGACCTCACATTATCTGGTGTAATGCTATCTACAACATGGCTGCCATGCTGCAGTTTTTAGAACTTGATTTTCCCTCTCTGAATCTGTAAGGTGTTGATTTACAGACAATTGTAACCACAATACTAACATTGAGATTAACCAGTGTGATCTGGTTCTAAAACCTCTTCAGACCTGTAATGGCTTTGTCTTTAAAAAAATAAAATAAGTGTTTCAAGAAAAAAAAAACTTGTGTCAGTTTGTCTTTAGCTTGTCACTCTCTGTACTGTTGGAGGTTATGCAAATTTGGTGGTGTGACATGATGGCACGCCATTGATGTCACAGTCTCTATTAGGGACGCGAGGTTACAGCACTCTGTGTTCTTTCGGTCTGTGTGCAGTTTGGTATACTGCAGGATATATTCTGATGTCATTTAGATTCTTATTTTAGTGCCATTTTAAGGTTTTGCACACTGACAAGCATCAACAGCATCACTGGAGTAGTGTCCAGGTTATGCAAATTAATATACCCTACAGTGAAAGATGTCAAATATATTCCTATGTGCCTTTTTTTCCCCTAGAAAGAGGAGGACTTTCTGCATAATTCAGATGTAAGCAAAGTCATTCAGAATGGTTTGATGTGGAATGTGCTGTAAAGAAACTTGCAGTCAGAGTTGCTCACAATGTTAGTGATAAGAGCCAGACATCTAAAGTGATAAATGCCTCTAAATGCTGCCTCACAGCTACCTCACTGTTACATGAAATGATAAATACGCTGCCTGATGTATGATACATTGTGTTACGATAGTTTTAAGATTACGTTTTGCCTTAAAACGTGTAAAATACATCAATAGCAGGGTGGTACACGCGAGGTGATGTGAGGCAGAATAGTATCCAACAGACAGTACCCAAAAAAATACCCTTATAACAATTTTAGTCCTAAAACTATTTTACCACTATCTGCACTACATATAAAAACTCAGAAGACACATGTAGGTTCATCTCCATTGTAAACACTCTGAATGACTTTTGACATTTGAACAACTGAATTATGCAGACATTTTTCAATCTCAGTGGGTGCAGACCACCTACTCTACTGTTTTCAAACCAATGATAAGTTTTTTTTTATCCTGGGCCAATCTTCACCCATTTTGTCAAGAGCTCTAAAAATGACAACAGTACAAATAACTTATTTCTGATTAAAAATGTCTCCCTAAGTAAATAAATTATAGAAATGTTTTAAAGTAAAAGGTAGAAAAAAATGATTCTTTTAAGTTAGTAAACGGCAATATTTTGACTTTTACATTTTGACTTAAATCAAAGCCATTGATGCTAACTAGCTAACACAAAGAGAATTTACATCATATGTGTCCTGATGTGGGTGGGGTTGGTTAGCACATTATACGCTACACAAATAGCATACTCAATCTATAATTGTATTAAATATACATTGAAGCTGTAAAAATTCTTCTTCCCTCCAAGCTATTTCATAAGTGAGTCTATCCAAAAATGAAAAGAAAAAACATTACTTGGAACCCAAACAATTTATGTATTTTTATTTTTTTATAAACTTTTATTTTACCAAGACGATGTTTAATTCACTAAATAGAAAAGAAGACTTTATGCATTGTGGTGTGTTCATATAGGCTAATAAAAGCAAAAAGATTTTTACATTAGTAAAGTGGCCTTGTTATTTATTTATTTATTTGTGTGTGTGTGTGTGTGTGTGTGTGTGTGTGTGTGTGTGTGTGTGTGTGTGTGTTCGTGTTCTTCAATATATGCAAATGATAAAACTGGATGGCACAAATGCATGTGAATTCAGTCATGAATGCACCTTTCTGACCCTGAAAGTGACTATTTTCTGATAGTTGGGCTATCCTATGCCAGCCAACCCCCTATCCCCGTTTGTTGGACAAATCACTTATATTCACAGACTAACTTCGTTTGCATTTAAACTATTAAACCACGCAGGAAAAAAAAGGCACAGACCGGCATGGCTGGTCACACGCAAAAGTAGCACATGTCGTCTTTTGACTGTTGGTATGCTAATGCTGGGTGACCAGCATAAACCAGTTTAGATCAGCTTGGAGGAATTCGTGCTGGTCTCTGCTGTTTGTTAGCAGGGATAGTAGCATTGTTGCTAACTGTTTTGCGGCGAGTTTCTGAAAAGGTCATGGCGCCCACTCTAAGAGAGCCGAGACCTCGATCTCTCACACAAAGTTAGGCCTAAAGCTCGACCTGATCTGAGGGGTCCTTTCCATACCGACCAATCTGACTGATCTCCCGCTGAAAGGAAATTTAAAGAACTCGAGCTCTATCTTTATATAACCTGATATCCTCTCGTCTACAATAGTCTGTTCCTGGTAGGGCTGCACGCTGAAAGTTTCCAAATGTGATGCATCGTTATTCGTAAAACTCCCATGATTTATGCCGACTGCAGCTGCTGCTATGTCGTTTGTGCCAAAGTAGCAGCTTTTTACGGGATCCAGTCTGGCTTCTGAGTTCTGTACATGCACGTTTCAGAAGTAGTGACCTAATTCTTTCCATTGAGCAAGGAGGTTCGGTTGACCGTGGCAAGTTCCTCCAAAAAGGCTCAGCCATCGTGTGCTTTAGCAAGAGTGCTGGGGGACGGAAATGGTAAGCCACAGACACGCAGAGCACGAAAAGTGCTGTTCTCAAGAACTCAAATCACCACTGCTTTCTTTGGAGACAGTCACACAATGCTTTACATGCACGACCGTACGCACCTCTCGCTATGCTATGTGTAACACAGTATGAAGGCTAAGAATGGCATGCACTGAAGCTATTTAGAGAAAGACTGAGTGACTGCACCGATAGTGGCGCTTGCACTCTTCTGCTTGACACGTATAGGCCTTTCTGCAAATCTGTAATCTGTAAGGTGGAGAAAAATGTCACCATTGTGGAAGCTCTGTGACTAAGAGTAGCTTTGCCTGTCAGCCTGTTAAATAATATTACTGCTCCATAGGCAAGCTCATATCGTTCTCTGTGAGACTGCAATTGATGGCATTAAGGGTTTAGAAACCCACTCTTGATTAATACTTGTAATCGTTGGAAAATGATTAATAGCACATATGTCTGACAGCGAGCTTATAAATGAGGGAGAACAGGTCAGTTGCATTACGTTGTGACGTAACCACAAAGTGGGCTGCTAACTTCTTTGAACATAGACACACACATGTTGGCCCCTCCTTCTGGATGGAAAGTACTTTGAAACACAGGAAGTGCATATAGCCTTTACTTCTTTGTTGAGCTGATGAAACTGCACACTGTTGAGCCTTGTATGAACTGTGAATGTGTTCATGTGTATCTGTCTGTTGTATCTCGCTTTCAGTATTTGGTCATTTGGCTGGTCTGACTTGACAGTTAAGTGCCATGAAAAGCATCTCCCTATGTCTGTACAGTAGTCAAATATATGAGCTGCACTCAAGTCACTGTCAAATATGCATGAGAAACTTGCTAGTTCAGGCTGCTAGATGCTGACCTACTTTCCTCAGTTAGTTCCTCTTTGCTTACAGAGCCCTATGCTGTATGTACAGAAGCATCAGAGCCTAAAATTATGGGTTTCTGGTTAGGCCAAAGTGCTCAGAATTAAACCTACATTAGAGTCCTGTACAGCTTGATATGTATGTAATGGGTTTCAGTTATTTAAAATATTCGGGAAACTCTGAAAATCATGCATGCTATGTCTTCAGTTCAGAACATAAATGTCAAGACCAAAAACGAGGAAAAAAACACCTCTGTGACAATGCTAATTTCTGCTAGCAACCCTATGGGATTCTAGTAGTATTTCAGGACCTAGCGAACAGCTGTTTTCATTAACATGTTTTGGCCTTTCTAGATTAAACCCAGACAACTGAAGTCTATAAAATACATTCTGTGTTTCACTTGAATATTAACATCTTTTACCTTCGAGCAGTTTTACAGTGACTTTCAGTAAAGAGCTCTGGCAAAGAGCTGCCGCTGTTTTGCATTTCTGACAACTGACTGCAGCACACTGGCCAGTGCTACCACTCATATTTAGAGTCAGTAACTTGGTTAGGACTTCCAGAAGGCCTAGAGTGGCATTTTTCTCACAACGTTGGTCCCAGCAATACATCAATACATGATTGATTGCATCCACTGTCAGGTTCCCAATTATGTTAGTGGTTAATCTGACCTTGAGTTCAGGTCCAGAAGTCCTAAAAAATGGAAGAGTTAACTTGGCTGTATATACCTAGATACCATGGAGAAAAAAATCCTGATTGGATCATTTTCTCTTAGGTATTTCAAAAATGAAACCTTTCCATTTCCAAGTAAAAGTTGAAAATAGAAACAAAAGTGAAATATGAATATTACTACAATATTTTAGGGCTGCAACTATTGAATATTTTTTTTTGAATATTGTATTGAATATTGTATTACTTAATATAAATATAAATATAATAAGGTAATGAAAAAAAAAAGTCACTGATCCTACCCACTCTGGCAACTGGCGCTGATCTGGCTCTGCTTAGATAGACATGAGTGGTGTCAGAGAGCAGCGTATTATTAACTATAGTCTTAAAACCCTTTTGGTGAACTCTTGTCAGTGAACAGGAGAGTGATGAAGGTTTTTATCTGCTCAAAAATGGTTTATACCAGAACTCGCGCTAAACCAGAGACGTTGTAAAGGAGGAGACAGGTCACTGCTCGAAATATGAAAGGGAAAGCTTGTAAAGCCAACCTGCTTGCTGGTTAAGTCACAGGTGGGAAAAGCTGTTCCTTGTTGTGGAGTTATGTATGAAGTGGAGGTCTCTCCCTATTCAAAGAGATAGCAGTCTGGTCTTGTATGACTGGAAATAACTGCCCGGGCCATTGCCAAGATGGCCGTCAAGCATACAGACTTTCCTAACGGTCTTTGGCTAAACTCGGCAACATCTGCTTTAATGGCCATGTAGTCTGAAAACTTTTCCTACAGCTCTGGACAGCAAGCTAGCCAGCACACCTTGTTATTTGAATGG